ATAGTTCTGGACGGAATCGAAGAAACTTTCGTTTAACGGGCTAGCATCTCTAGTAGAAGTGGATCACTGATACCTCCATGCAGAAACCTAGATATATTATCAATAAAAGAGGAAAAAGAAATTCGTAAATCATAGATACTATCCTTAGTCTTTAAGTATAGATCAAGCCGCCTCTTAAAAGACTCCTGGAAGTCGATTGGACTAGCTCAGTCGGCAGTGAATCCCAGCATTTTACAACTTTTAAGGAGTAGAAGTTGTTCCTACAGTCCGTTCTGCTGTGCTGTGTCTCCAGTTTCTGGATGTTTCCCTAAGGTTTGTGTTGGGACTAAACTTAAGTAGATGTTTAAGGGGATGTCCAGATGTATTATTGATGCTGTAAGTCATTAGAAAATCACCTCTAAGATGCCTATAATCTAGTGAATAAAGGTTCATCAACTGAAGGCGCTCTTTATAAGGCCTGAATTTTAGTCTCCGAACTGATTCTGTGGCCCGCCGCTGGATACATTCCAGAGTGTCCTTCTCCTTTTGGAGCGAAGGAAGAAATACTATTTCCGTACTCTTAATGGGGGCACATAAAACTGATGAAGATTACTTGAAGTTTTCTCCCGTCAAACTGGCCGAAAATAGGCTTCAATGTTACCAATTTTATGGTTTACTCGAAAGGGATTGTTGCCGCGATTAGCTTGAGACTTCAGGTCGCATGGCACCAACACTCCTAGATATTTTTCTCAAGAGAGGAGTTGCCTAAGTTGAAGCTGTACTCTGCTACATGTCTCAGATGGACTACTTCATGCTTTGAAGTGTTAAAGACAATTTATCTTCTGCCCAACTTTGAAGTCGAGTCAGGTCTACTTGTAGTGACAGTTATCCTCTTGGTTGCGTACCTCTCTTGAAGCCTCACTCCTTCAGCAAAAAGTAATAACTCAGACGATGCCTGTTATAGAAGATCGTTTATATAAATCAAGAAAAAAAAAGGTCCTAATACCGAACTTTGGGGGTACTTCCAAGACATTCCATAGTCTGAGAGAATGTGAATTTGACTGACTTACTTACATACTTACTTACTTACTTAATTGCTTACTTACTTACGCCTGTTACTCCTAATGGAGCATAGGCCGCCAACCATCATTCTAAAACCCACTCTGTCTTCGGCCTTCGTTTCCAGTTCTATCCAATTTTTGTTCATTCTTCTTCTCATATCTGTCTCTTTTTCTCGGTGTAATGTGTTCTTTGATCTTCCCCTTCTCCTTTGGCCTTGGGGATTCCATGTGAGGGCTTGTCTTGTGACACAGTTGGGCGATTTCCTCAATATATGTCCTATCCACTTCCAACGCTTCTTCCTGATTTCTTCCTCCGCTAGGATCTGGTTTGTTCTCTTCCACATTAGGTTGTTGCTGATAGTATTTGCCCAACGGATCCAAAGTATTTTGCGTAGACATCTGTTAATAAACATTTGTATCGCCTGGATGATGGCTTTCGTGGTTTTCCAGGTTTCGGCCCCATACAGTAAAACTGTCTCGACATTTGTATTGAAAATTCTGGCCTTGGTGTTGGTGGACAGAGAGCTGTTTTGAGTTCCAGATGTTCTTCAGTCATAAATATGCTGCTCTTGTTTTGCCGATCCATGCCTTCATATCTGCATCAGATCCACCATGTTCATCAATGATGCTACCCGGGTGTGTAGAGGTTTTCACATCTTCTAAATCTTCTCCGTCAAGTGTGATTGGATTGTTGCATGCTGTGTTGTATCGGAGAGCCTTACTTTTCCCTTTGTGTTTGTTGGGACCTACTGGTGCTGAGGCTGTTGATACACTAGTCGCCTTCTTTTGCATTTGTTGTTGCGTGTACGATAGAGGAGCCAGATCATATGCAAAGTGTAGATCGTCCAACTGCATCTTAGCTGTCCACTGTATTCCATGCTTCCCCCCAGATGTTGACGTCTTCATTATCCAGTCGATCACAAGGAGAAAGCGAAAGAGTGAGAGTAAGCCAACTCACCTGACACTGGTCTTTACTTCGAAAGAGTCCGTCAATTGTCCTCCATGCACGATTTTGCAATTTGATTCTATCATAGGAATTCTGTATGACATTGGCTATGTTCTAAGGCATACCGTGGTGTCGAAGAAGCTTCCAAGCTTCATTGAAAATTGGTGTAATAATAATAACAATATATTTCTGCATGAGCAGGTACACTCCATTTTTACAGGCATGATCTAAAAATTACAACATCTGTCGGCTCACAGCATGCTTCGCAAGTAGGGTCGTTAAATAAATGAACACGATATACGTGGATAGTAGGCCATTCGTGGAGATGTCTTGCAGCAATAATCATTAGGTTTACGCTTTAGTAACAACAACAATAATTTATTCTCAAATAGCAGTTTTTTTATATGAGGCATGTCAGTTTACAGGCAAGATCGAATTGTTACAAATGATACAATTTTCACAGTAGTAAAATGCTCAGCTAGGCTGATAATTTATGAGACATGAATGTAGATGGTTTTAGTCAGTATCACAGTTGGCGCGCTTCATGAAAGTTGCGTTGCGACGCGCAAATGATGGTCGATAATAGATTCATGTGAAGTTGGAGGCTTCTAGAAGTCACAATCTTATATCCCTTTGGAATATTTGAGGCTTTATGGTGGTGCAAGATGAGGTCACCCGTTCCGTATCTCAAGAGGGCTGAAAAATGGTGCAAGAAAAAAGGACGATTAGCCGAGCAGACAGTGTTCATGAAGAAATAGTTAAGGTATGACCACTCAGTCTGATTCTCTCTTATTAAAGTATTTATTAGGCAAGAACATTCTAATGGGTTAAAGAAAATAAATGTAAACAAGGTATGAGTGGATAAAGAACTGACAAATGGAGGTGGTTCAGAAAGAAGCTGAGAGTATGAGGATATGTGTATTTATAAAATATAGTGCTAAAAACAGTATTACGATACAAAAATGGCTGTCACCCTTTTTTTGTCAACGCTATTAGAGCCTTTTTTAGATTTTATAGGGTCTTGAGTAGGCTTCATTTTTAGCAAATTGTCTAGTTTGCTTGTAATAGGATTACTGGGTAGGAAGTGAAACCAATTGAACGTTCTAAACACGATTTAATGAAGTATTTAGTTCACGAACACGCACTCACCAGATTTTCGTTGTTGAGGGTGTTTCTATGCTAAGCATTGATATAGACCTGCCACAACACCGTAATCTGCAAATTTACCTTTTGTAGCCCGCAATGTATTACACCACATCATGGCTACAGGACCATCAGTACTTTTTAAAGCGCGTCGACTAGCCCCCGTTGAGTTAAACTTGACGAAAATGGAATTCATTCACATGTTAGATTTCGGAATATCCGATCATCGAACAGACCACTAGCATCTGGAATCTCCTGTTGTTTACTAAAAATTACGCGGCTCCGAACTACCACACAAGCTATAGAGTTAGAAGAATTGTTTCACTGACGGTTGAAGGCTTCACTCTCAGCTGAAAACATTTCACAGTGAACTATTGCTCTTGGTATACGTAATGCAGTGAAAGCTGACATTGGATGCACTCCAGACCAACTCGTTAAAGGAACGACATTCCGATTTCGAAGTGAATTTGTGGATCATTCACATTTTTCTATGAATACATATCTAAACTCTTACATGAGCATGCTTACAAACGCCATGCATTCAGCCAAACATGTTTCCAATTGGCTTCAGCCAACTGATGTTTACGTTCAAAGCGCTTGACAACTTAGCAAACACGTCTTTTTACGTCACGACTCATTACGACGACCTCTCGAAATGGTATACGAGGGATGCTTCAAAGTCCTTAATCGTCAACCTAAGTAACATATTATCGATAAAAATGGAACTGACGATAACGTCAGCACTGAACGTCTTAAAGCCGATTACTAAGAGCAGCAATAATACTGGTTTTCTTCTCGCACACTCGAGTGAAACGAGACACACGATTACGTTGCCATCCTTGATAGTTAACGACCGCGGAGAAACTTCGCTGGCGTCCGAAAACCAGCCAAAAAACAACACCTTGGAATAAGGATGAGGTTTCCAAAACACCTAAACGGCCACTGTGTGTAGGACATTGCATAACTTTATGTTTTACTTCGTTTGTAATGTTGCGTCAAACATGAAAAAATCAACGTTCCGCTCTTGCTACTACGCTCATATATGCGTATATATTTAGTTCTTCAAAAACGTCCAAAAGATCACTGCGCAAAATATTCTCGCTGTGACATGTTATCCATGCTCATGCATAACAGCTTCTTTCGGACGCATCGTGTCCTCAGATACAATGATATGCACCTTCACTTTCTTTTTTTCTCTTGAAGGATGGCTGAAAATGACGGAAAACCGACGAAGAATGTGGTGAATAGAAAAATTTCCGTTTCAGTATTGTATCACATGGCCCCCTATATTATAGTAAATCAACTAGGTGCTTCTGAACGTAGCAAGCTATTAGAAGAGTATTTACCAACGAAAACTTTTGACTGACCGTGTCTTAGGGTCATCAATATCTTACTAGGGGGGGGGGAGTGAGCTATATAGCGGTAAATAAACACCCAAAATAAATAATTTGCAGGTCATCAAGATTGCTTCTGGCCTCACTAGTTTTAGTGAGCACAATTCAACTGAAGGCGTTTGGTCACGTATATACAGCAGATCACGAGTGGGTCCGCCGTGCTACGCACCACTTACAGTTTCTAGATATCTCGACTAAACGGGTGTGTGATCCTCTAAACATGTAATCCGAAGTTCACGGGGGGAGTAAGGTGTATTTAAAAACACGTAGTTCACTAGATATGTCAGGTTGTCTCACGTAGTATAAAGTAAATGCCTACAGAATATTAACTAAATAAACTAGCACCTTTAATTTTGGTGTATAACATGGTATTTGCAGGCCTAACAGCGTCTGAAGATGGAAATCCTACAGCTACTAGCCACGATAGTAAATTATTTGATTGGTGTAGCTCACTGTGAAGATATTGAAAATCGAAAGCTTTCTGATTACAAAGCGCTTAGTTTATGACTAACGAAACATGGTCTCGGTTAGTATGATAAGTGCTAAACTATCAGACCTACATGACAACATTGCGAAATTGTCTCATGAATTGGACCTTAAACGTAAGGAAAAGGAGTCTCAAAGAAGTTTTGTTAAAAAGGTAATATGTTCGGATTGTTATCTAGTAGTTTAGCTTGACTCAGAAATCAAAGATAAACATAGGTTTCTAGATAGTTTAGAACAAAAGCGTGAACAGCATGAAAAAACTATCAGAGTTAATACTGAGCGCCTATGTGAGCTCCAAAAATCAGCTGCTGAGTGTCAGAAGTACCAGAATTATTAAAAATATTTGTTCTAGAGCACATGAATCTCTAGAAAAACGACTAGAAAGTCAAGAACAATCAATTCGTTCTCTAGAAGACGAAGTTGATGAAGCACAAAGTCTTGCGAAGTCCTCAGCTCAAGTTTACGATGAGGTTTTTATAGTCAGTTATTTTGAATTCTTCAGACTCTTAAGTTACTACAAGAAAAGTTGGAGATTTTGGAAAAATATGATCGGAAAGAAGAATCTCTTGCCAAGTATTATATTTGAACATTTTAATTAGCCTTTAGGACTATCAAAGAGTTGAGAGATGAAGCTAATTTGCATGGGAACAGACTACGTCGCATTGAGACACAAGGAAACGAGGTTCGCTTTACTTGGTTGTTTTTGTTATTTGTAGAGATCCTCGCCTTAATAGTTCTCAGATGTGGTACACATATGCTTGCAAATATGACTGCTCGCCCTCCACAACATATAATCTATCTTGGAAGTAGTGGGACTAGATTGGGGGTGCTTCAGCTTAAAGTATGATAATGAAGTCTTATGGTGTTAGGATTTTCTGAAGTTTTGTTAGTGATAATTTGGGGGCGTATGGGGTATAGACAATTGAGAACGCGTTCACTGGATCCATAATGAAGTGGGACTTATTTATATATAGAAATGACAAGTTATTGTTCATTTATTTGTAGATTAAGGAACGAACTTCAACCGATTGAAATGCATCTTTGATCTATCAAATGCCTCATATAAGTGCTGATAGGTCTGCACGCAGTAGATAAGTAACCCTTAACTCATAGCCCTAATAAACGTTCTGCACACTACAGCATAGTAGTATTACTATCTCAGATTTATGTTATACTCAAAACTGGAGTAGTAGTTCCTGTAGAGTCAAGTGAATTATCTTATCTGTCTTGTAATGAATCGCTCAATTTGGCTTGATTAGATCCTCTGGTTTGTAATGAATTCAGCCAAAAAGCTTTGAATCGTTTTAAACGGTCCGAGTATTCACGTTAAATCCCTTCTTAGTATTTTCGTTTAGGCCTTAATTGATTAAATATTAAGTGACCTACAAATTAATACCCTCCAATCGCTTATAGCATTTTGTCGCCTTCAAATGCCTTAGTACGACCGAGGGTGGAAAGAGTCAGCTCTCCTTCCTGAAATACTTCCAAACGACCACGCGTAAACAATCACTGACAGGGAAGTCCTACTCACTGCCTTCTCGCGGAGGGCGTGTTCTTTACGAAATTCAGAGGACAGAAAGCGAATGTCCGGCGCTTTAACCGGGTTGGTGGATATGGAGAATCTACTTAGGGAAGTTAGGAAACCCTGATCCCAAATTATTGGTTCACATGAGCTGCAAGATCCTGAAAGAACAAATGGCGTATGAACCAATTGTTGGTCACCGGCCAATATGGGACTGCATCTTCTGACGTTGCTCGACTGTCTTGTGGATTAGACCTTCAGGTCAAAGGCTCCGGGTGTGGCTCTAAGAAAACCACCTGCTTCGGTTTGGGCACCCGGGCAGTATCCCAGCCCTCACACAAATCGAGTAACGAACTCTGGCGCATATCTATTTGGTGCCTCTTTGTACCGATATTTGTATTCAAATAATCAAGTAGTATTTTATCTCGTTTACTTTGCGTTTATACCATATATGTAAGCTATTTATTGCACGAAAAACTTCATATGACTAGCTTTATTGTCTTTGATTTCTAATTGTTTGGGGTCCTAATTCGATATGGTCTTGTGAATAACCATCGCTCGGCCACATATCATTACTTTCATCTATCGGCCAGCATTTTATCCATTCATTTTGACAATCGAAAATTTCGTCTAGTCAAACCATAAAAGCATCCTCTATAAAAAGAATATAAACCTGTTTGTTATGCTGATTACAGTACTCTCACTATTCAAGGTTCTGCACTTTACCACATTTTCCACTAAATAGCTATATTTTTTGGCTATACTCGACGAAGTCAGCGTCTCATCCAACTTCTCTCTAACTTTTTTATTAGTTTTATGAGTCCAGGTCCTGTATGATTTTATTTGAAAATTTATTTCTTTGCAGGCAAATAAACGCATAGAAATACTGGAGGAAAAAATCAGGGAACTGACAGAACAAATTAATTCTGTAAGTAACTCATGTTTTTCCTATTTACAAGGAGATTTGGGGAGTCTAATTTTGAATTAAAAGTAGAACACCCATGAAAAGCTTGTTAGTACGATTCCATTTCAACCTTCATCTGCCAACAGCGTTAACTATTATATATAAGTGTTACTGTTTTGGCCTTTATGCTGTTAATATTTTTCAGGAAAGCATATCCTTTTATGGATATCTCATGAGTACAAAAGGCAAGTGGTGAATATCATTTGGGGCTAATTTTTACTGTAAGGTAATTTATTTTCACTCATCAACCTGGTACATGTTCATGTGCTTAGGTTTCAACCACATTCTGATGACTAGCGATACTGTCCGGTTTTCGGATATAGACTAGGTGGATCGAGCTTCGGACCTGCGACTCAGTGGCTTAAAGTCAAACCACTGATCGATTGCTCCATTTAGGAAAGCAAAAGCCACAACCTGATGTTTATAGTCATAGCTGCAAATAAAATACCATCGTTTTCAATAATCTGGCTACTTAACTATCGTTTTTACGACTAACGAAGGAATATCACAATGACTTGCTTTTTTATCAATACTTTATGCAAGTTTCAGTATGAACAACTGGAGAAACAAAGGTAATCAATCATTTGAAGAGCACTTAATGTTGCCTTCCACTTTTAAATAATAGAGTGATGACTTGGTGTACATTTTAGACAATCTGTTTACTACTTAAAAGATAATGTACCTCCTAGAAGTATAATTTTTTCAAAGGACTATATAAATTAATATTTTGAACTTCTATCATTTGAGGTTGGCGAGATGTGTTACATGTTTTCAAGCATCGTCTACCTCAATGTTTTATTATTGGATGTTAAATAAGGTCGGAAAGTGACTGTGGTTGACTTTTTAAGGAAAATTACTTACTTACTTACTTACTTACTTACTTACTTACTTACTTACTTACTTACTTACGCCTGTTACTCCCAATGGAGCATAGGCCGCCGACCGGCATTCTCCAACTCATTCTGTCCTGGGCCTTCTTTTCTAGTTCCATCCAATTCTTGTTCATTTTTCTCATGTCTATCTCGATTTCTCGGCGTGATGTGTTCTTTCATCTTCCTCTCTTCTTTTGACCTTGAGGATTACATGTGAGGGCTTGTCTTGTGACACAGTTCGGTGCTTTCTTCAATATGTATCCTATCCACTTCCAGCGTTTCTTCCTGATTTCTTCCTCCACTGGGATCTGATTTGTTCTCTCCCACAGTAGGTTGTTGCTAATAGTGTCTGGCCAACGGATTCGAAGTATTTTCCGTAGACAAATGTTAATAAACACTTGTATCTTCTGGATGATGGATTTCGTAGTTTTCCAGGTTTCGGCCCCATACAGTAGAACTGTCTTCACATTTGTATTGGAAATTCTGACTTTGGTGTTGTTTGCCAATTGTTTTGAGTTTCAGATGTTCTTCAGTTGTAAATAGGCTGCTCTTGCTTTGCCGATCCATGCCTCCTCATCTACATCCGATCCACCGTGTTCATCGATGATACTGCCCAAATATGTAAAGGTTTTTACATCTTCCAAAGCTTCTCCGTCAATTGTGATTGGATTGGTACATGCTGTGTTGTATCGAATAATCTTGCTTTTCCCTTTGTGTATATTGAGACCTATTGCTGCTGAGGCTGCAGCTACACTGGTTGTCTTCTCCTGCATTTGTTGTTGCGTATGCGATAGAAGAGCCAGATCATCTGCGAAGTCTAGATCATCCAATTGCATCCTAGCCCCCAAATGCCCTGGTATGGCCGAGAGCGGGGAGGGTTCGCCCTCCCTCTCGAAATACTCTCACACGGCCACGCGTATACAGCCTCTGCCAGGGAAGTCCTACTCACTGCCTTCTCGTGGCGGGGGTGTTGTTTACGAAAATGAGAGGACGAAAAGCGAATGTCCGGCGCTATAACCGGATCCCAATTCTATGGTGCACATGGGCTCCAGTATCCTGCGGGAACAAATGGCGTATGAACCAATCGTTGGTCACCGGCTACCATGGGACTGCATCTCCTCACGATGCTCCACTGCCTTGTGGACTAGACCTTTAGGTCAAAAGCTCGGGGTGTGGCCCCCTAAGAAAACCACCTGCTTCGGTCTGGGCACCCGGGCAGTATCCCAGCCCACTCACTAAAACTATGATGAACAATTTGCTTATGGAAAATATTCCTTTCTATCTGATTAACATTGAAATAACTCGTACTATTATTATTATTATTGTTATTATTATTATTATTATTATTGTTATTATTACTCTACCACGTCATTTATTCACCCTCTCTTATTCCTACTTTATATATGCGTTTCGACCTAGACAGCAGCTCACCTATGGTGAAAATTCAGCTTTATCTAAACGTTCCCGAGTCACTGCCTGGTTGAAAATTGTATGTTACTACCGAACATGAGTACTGAAGCAGTTTTTCTGAAACCGCGTGCACCATTCAAACTGGCTACCTTCAACGTTCGCACACTTATGCAGGTCGGACAACAGATAGGACTGGCTATGTCTTTGGAAAGTCTTAATATTGATGTGTGTTGTCTATCCGAGACCCGTATTCAAGACTCTGGTGAAGTACTACAAGTTCGCTCTCCATCTGTCACTTCAAAAAGCTTGTTTTATGTGCGTTTATCCGGGGACCCTGTGGCATCTTCGTCTGGTCTTGCTGGCGTTGGTGTCGCACTAAGCGCAAGAGCTGAGGCAGCACTAGTCGACTGGATCCCCATTAACGGTCGGTTATGTGCTGTTAGATTAGAAAGTTCCATCAAAGTGAGAAGAAATCGGCGTGAGAAACGATGTCTTTTCGTCATCTCCGCCTATGCCCCGACAGATTGCAGCCCGGATGCAATCAAGGACGAGTTCTACCATCAGCTAACTGTTCTTCTCCAGAAAGTGCGTTCGACAGATATTGTAGTACTAGCTGGAGACTTGAATGCTCAGGTCGGGCGTCTAGGCACAGAAGAGAGTCGTTTAGGTGGCCGATGGGGACTCGTTGGTCGCAGGACAGATAACGGGGAACGTCTACTGCAACTATGCACAGACCACAACCTGTTTCTGGCTAGCACTAACTTTCGGCACAGTCATCGCCGATGTGCCACCTGGCGTCCTCCTTCTGCATCTCAAGCCTGGACTCAGATTGATCACATCGCGATCAGCTACCGCTGGCGTGGTTGTGTACAAGACTGCCGCTCCTTTTGGAGTACCTATCTGGAATCTGATCATGCTCTGGTCTGCGCCAATCTTACCTTACTTTTCAGTGGACAACGAAGTGACCGCCACCAAAGGATTGATGTTAGCAAGCTGGCTGCAACTTCTGTTGCTAGTAAGTACCGAACCGAGCTAGCTTCTAGGCTAGCTACCATTCCACCGAAAAGTATAGATGAGCATTGGTTGCAATTGCATGACGCCATGAAAATGGCGGGTACAGTCTGTTGTGGGTTTGCGAAACGTCCCGCTTACAAGCACTGGGTTTCTTCTGGTTCCTTACAACTGATTGAAGCCCGTCGGTCTACTCCGGGTGACCGTGAGTTTGACCACAGACGAAGGATGTTACGTAATGAAATCGGGCAAAGCTTGCGTAAGGACCGAGAAGCCTGGTGGTCGGAGCGTGCCAGTGAGTTGGAAGCAGCAGCTGCATCTGGTAATTACCGGAAGCTCTTCCAACTCATCCGAGCCACTGGCAGCAAGAAGTTTGGTGTGAGCGAAACAATCTGCGAGGATGACGGAACGCCAATCACTAACATCCATCGACGTCTTGGACGATGGGCAGAATTCTTTGAAGGGCAGTTCAACTGGCCTGCTGCTCCGGCAACATCGGTCAGACTGTCCTGCCCTCCATGGCCGGTGACGACTGATCCACCAAATGAGGCGGAAGTCCGCAAGGAACTCCAACTCTTGAAACGTTACAAATCACCGGGCCCAGACGACTTACCTCCGGCTCTTTTTAAAGATGGTGGTGACTTTCTGACTAAGGGACTGACGACGTTGTTTACAAAGATCTGGGAACTAGAGAGTGTACCAACGTCATGGAATGAGTCGATAGTTGTCCCTATCTTTAAAAAGGGTTCACGTTGTTTCTGTAACAACTATCGGGGGATAAGCCTACTTCCGATTGCGTCCAAGCTATTGGCTTCCGTCATACTTCGTAGGTTGTTCAGGACCCGAGAAGGATTGACTCGCGAGGAGCAGGCTGGGTTTCTTTCTGGTCGAGGATGTATTGATCATATCTTCACCCTCCGCCAAGTGTTAGAACACCGCCATACTTATCAAAGGCCAACAATCGTAGTGTTTCTTGATATCAGGGCTGCCTTCGATTCGTTGGACAGAACTGTTCTCTGGGATTGTCTATTGAAGAAGGGTGTGCCTGAGAAGTTTATTAACATCCTAAAAGCCCTATACACAAACACCTCAGGCAGAGTGAGGGCATACAAACACCTTTCTCCGTTATTCTATTCAAGCAGTGGGGTTAGGCAGGGTTGCCCAATCTCACCATTCCTCTTCAACTTTGCCATCGATGACATTCTGGAAACAGCTCTGACGGATGTAAGTAATAGTGGTGTGGATCTGTTGCCTGGAGAAAGACTTCTCGACCTTGAGTATGCGGATGATATTGTCTTACTGTGCGAGAATTCCCAAGCTATGCAATCCACACTTAATCAGATGGCAATCAATGTCCGTAGGTATGGTATGTGCTTTGCACGTTCGAAGTGCAAAGTACTTCTACAAGACTGGCAGAATTCTAATCCTGTACTCACTCTGGATGGTGAGCAGATTGAAGTAGTCGAGAAGTTCGTGTATCTAGGTAGCTGCATAAGTGCTGGTGGTGGTGTGAGTGATGAGATCAATGCTCGTATAGTGAAAGCCAGAGCGGCTTATGCCAATCTGGGCCATCTTTGGCGCCTTCGTGATGTTAGTCTGGCTGTAAAAGGTCGGATCTACAACGCGACGGTGAGAGCAGTTTTGCTCTATGCTTGTGAAACCTGGCCTCTC